ATAGCTATTCTCGAGTAAAAGAACACTCTGTCAGAGTTGTTACTACTATGTTAGTGCCTTGACTGAAGGTAAGCTGACTATACTGAGAGTAACATTCAACAAGGTTTACAATTTGGTCCAGCTTTTTCAGAGATGGTCCTGGTCATTCACCTCGTCAGGGTCCCCAGTACATCTCAGCAAGCAACTAAGCCACTGTTGCATCACACACTTGGAGACAGGTGGTGTGCACTTTGTAGCTGAAACTTGTCCTTGCTTAATAGTTAGTTGCCATTTATGTAGATATGATGTGTATCTTCAAAGTGCGAAGCAGTTCATGGCTTCTCAGGCGATGTTGAATGACAAAAATTATGCTGCTGCTGAGATTGACCATGTCTTGGTAGACTGCATTACCTTGGTACATGAGCTGTCTGTCCCATATGAAACAATTTTATAAAATCCATATAAAGGCCTGACCTGTCTACATCAGTCTCCCCACCAACCTGGTCCAAGTCAAGATATCCTCCAAGCACTTGCAGTCTCCTCTGATCCCCAGGCTGCTGCTGAATGACCCTCACATCAAGTTATTTGTTCTTGATCACATTGTCAAACTCATCAAAGAAGCAGATTGGAATGCAGTGGTCCTTGTCAATGCATGCACCATCTGCCACAATGTTCAAAAGGAATTCGACAATTTTGTGAACAAGACAGGATTCCCCGTTTACACTGCACCAATGGGGAAGACTATTGTTGATGAAAACTATGAGCTTTATGGCAGGATAAGGCTCTAGAATGCAATTGTGCCAAGTGTGCTGACACAAATTTTCCTAGATCTATATTGGAGCTATCAGTTGGCCAGACATTAAGGAGAAGGTAGAAAATGTGAAGCTTGTTCTGTCCATTGGCTCCGTCTGAAGCGACTTCAATATGGGCAACTTCTCATACAATATCTCTACTGAATGCACTGTTCAAGTATGCTGCTGTCAACATTGCTAGTGGATCCTCACTCATTGTGTCCTTTTGCCAGCTCCACTCCAACCACATGCATGTGCAGTTTGCCATGTTCCCAGCTATTGGCATGAAGCAGCTCATCCCCAAGCTCGCAGAGTGCCTTGCTTTGTACTATGCTGAAGTGTCCAAGGTTGTCATACCCAAGTTCGTCACTGTGGTTCCAAAGGAGATGACCAATGAGATTACCCATGCTTGGTTCTGGCCACATCTGGAGAGGTTCTTCAAACCAAAAGATCTCATTGTGATGGAGACAGGTGTGTAAATGGTGGCTTCCATTTCATGTCTTGGCTTTTCTGAGCTAAATGCTTGCAGGGACATCAAACTTTGGTATTCTAGATGTCCCATTGCTGGAGAAGTTGGTTTGTCAGTCAGTTATTGTGGGGAAGTATCAGATGGTCAGTGGGCAGCATGCTGGGAGCAGCCATTGCTGTGAAAGAAGTTGGTCTCAAGCAAGCAATCCTCTTCATTGGAGATGGTAGCATGTGAGTGAGCATTTATTGGACCTTGGATGGATGGTGATTGATTGTTGTGCCACTTGGTAAGGGAGCTCATGGTCCAGGAGCTTTTGGTGATGCTGTAACTTGGTCTCAAGCCCATGATCTTCCTGCTCAATAACAGTGGGTATACAATCAAGCAATGCATCCATGGGAAGACCCAGGGAGCAGCTTATCCATTGCATGATCCACGCTGACATGGCTCCACAGGAAATACAATGACATCTCCAACTGGGAGTGGACGAGCCTCTTCAAGGTGCTTGGTGACCCAGAGGAGAAGCTCTTGCAGACACACACCATCTGCACCAAGGACAAGTTGTCAATGCTACTCAAGAAGATGTTTGCAAGTGCCAATAAGATTCAGCTTGTTGAGGTCATGATGGATAAGCTGGACATGCCTGGATTGCTGAAGGGCTCAATGGAGCTCAGGGGAGAGGCAGGCACCCAGGATGCAGTCCTGAATCCAGCAAAATTTGCTTGATGGGGAATTATAGTTATGTGTGCATAGGTAAGCATTTCAACCTCACATATTGTATGTGTTCTTGTACTTGTAGCCAGTCCATCATTCTAATTCATTATGAAGACTTTTTGTTCTCAGCAGCACATGTTTTTGGCTAGCTAGTGGCCAGCAGAAGAGGGTTGGTTATGACTGACAGCAGAGGGCATTGAATGTTGCATTGAATGGAGTTCAATCGATTACTTCCAAGTCTATGAATTACAATAACAGCACAATACACAGCAACAAGAGCAAACAGTTTTCCTCTTTCTGTGACAGCAAAAAACAGAGTGAGAGTAATGTGACAAGTGGAACTCTCACTCTCTATGGCCCCCATTGCTTATTCTTATCCAGCTTCTGCATCTGCCTCAGCAGCCCAAACTCCAAATTGTTCTTGCAGGCTGGCAGCCCCTCCCACTTCTCTTTCCCTATCCACAAGCTGTCAAAGTATGCATCTCCAAGGGGCAACTGCTCGTGCATGCCATGGGTCAGTGCATCTAGCACATGTGCTATTTACCTCCCTTCACAAAATACTCCTCAATGCTGGGTAGCTGACCCTTAAAGAGGTTGACAAAACCCTTGATGAATTCCTTGTACAATGGCAAGTTGTGCTTTTCTAATTTGTTGGTCAGAAACAGGTTGATGGCAAGAAATATGTTCCTGAAGCCAATGGAGAAGGTCTTGGTGATGGACTGTCAGAGTTTTGGAGGAAGGTAGTAGACCTGGTATAGGATCTGTCGGCAGGGACCCTGTTTGTCAAACGGCAATTCCACTTGCATCAGGTCTACTGACTCAGCAGCATTGCCTACATATGCAGTGAGAAATGAAAGCAATACAGACAAGAGGTTCGTAGCACGTACAGGCGATGCAGAAGTGCATACATTTCAAGCACCAGCCATTTCCACACAACCCGCAGGTACACCCATACACCCGCTTCTCAATGTATTCAAAAGCCGGTGCAGCAGATGTGATGGAATCTGTTCTGCAGAATGTATGTTAGTTTCACTGCATGTATGCACATGGTTTGGATACTGTATGTGCGTACCTTTGGAACAAATGTGATCTGCAGTTCTTTTGCCTTTTGCAACTCATCCTGGTCATCTATTCCAACTGGGGTAGGTCAGAAGAGAAGTGCATTGTTTTCATGGACATGGCACAATTCTACCAGCATTTCGAGCATCGATGACCCCAGTCCTTGCTATAGAGTGAACTTATTGCAAGATTCAGCTCTTTGATCATGATCATTCACTTGCACATAAATGGATACCTGGTACTCTACACTGATGTCAAGAAGGTATGTGAGTGATCCGTCATTCAAATCAGCACCCCAAGCACAAGTGCCATTTCCAGGATGGAGGATGTGCAGAAGAACATGCCTGTCACTGTCAAAGAGGTGCTTGGCACATTGATGAGCTCATGGCTATAGTCATCCATCATAATGAGGAAGGAGCCCCGACACACGTGGCACAAGATCTTTACAGCATATAAGGCTCCAACAATGCCTATGTCTGGATAAGAGGCTGTCAAAGTGATACGCATGAAAACCTTCTTGTGATCTCTTTTCTCATCACCACATTTGGTAGTTTAGTTCTGCTTAGCTGGAAGGAAGGTGGTTTGGTCATGGGGGTGGTCGTAAAGCAAGAAGGATTCAGTGCTGACCTGCTCTTTATATAGCAGCATGATGCATTGGTGGCTTCAATTTGATGACAAGTTAAAGCACCCAACGTCATCATATCCTGAATACACCTTGGAATGCATCAAAATAGTTGCCATTGTTGCAAAAGTAACAAGAAAATATCCTCTTCAAATAGAAAACCTTATGGCAAAGCAGCACACAGGATAATTGAAGGAAAAAAGAAAAAGCCATGCTAGCTGATCAGTGCCCTGGTTTCCTGGACTAGAATCAAATGAATCTCTCCATGTAGGTCTTGCCATTTTATCCGATGTGGCTTCGACTTCCAGGATAGCATGCCAAAGTCATCCCAGAATGAGGCCAGTAATCACAGAATGAGGATGGGCCCAGGCCAATGGAGAACATGCACTAGCATGCACTGCAACCTTGAGTAAAGGAGCACATTTGACATTCAATGGTGGTGCCACCACCATGTGGCCAATTGGCCACCACTGACATCCAGACAGTCCAAGTCAGTGGTCATACAATAGACATATTGACTGGCGCCAGTTGTGGTAACCACGTAGTTGCATAGATTGTTGCTCACAAAGACTTGAAAAAGAAAAGTTCAATATGGATAGCATAATGGTAAGTAAACCTGCCAGTTGTTGGCCATGGTGTGTGGTGTGTGGCACAAATACATGCAAACATCATCAAAAATTTTCTATCTGGAGGCATAGGAGACTCACAGCCATACACATCTAGCTCAACCATGCTTACACAGAATGCAATGATTCAGGCATGGGCAGACTTGGAAGGCTTGATTATAACCTGCACTTACAACAATGTTTTTACCCAACTTGCCACCTCCTCATCCGACTGCTCTGCTAAGTTCGACTCCTTTATTGAACTGCTCATTGCGAATGCAGAACTGGAACATGGAATGCTTTTCTCTTTCAGCTTGAACTATTTTGCTGTGTGTACCGCACAACCTTTGTGCTCTTGTTTCATTTGGTCCCATAATGTTGCTCACTACTTGGCCTCTCACTTGCAGCACAATCTCCCCTCTGGCCAAATACTTCTTCTTTGTGCACTGACATCATTCTAGCATGATTGTTAATACAACATTTCAACACAATCCTCCATGTTTGTTTACCAATCTCTGTTTGCTTTGTCTTGTGCCACAAGGCACATCAATGCATCAGAACACGTCCAAAACATATCCCCCTGTTTCGTAAACTCACAGGGATCTGGTGGAACATTTGAAGAAGCGTTTAAGACCAGCAAATATGGTTGGCGAGAAGGACTTTTGCATGAACATTGCCAAATGTTCGATTTGCACCACAGGACATTACGGGGCAGCCTCCTCATAGATTCCGGTAATAATTAGCTCCTCCACTCACCGAATAACGGCGGGTTAGCGTAATGGTTAACGCGCCAGTTTCCGGTTTGAGCGGAGTTCACTTAACCACTGCCCTAACTGAGCTGGAGATTCCGGGTTCGAGTCCCGGGCCTGTCGCTTTTTGCCTCGTTCCCGTTCGCTCTGTCATGGTGCAATTTTCTCCTTTTTAGACCCCCTAGGTCCCCTTTGTTCTCCTTATATGTTGCTCCTTTCGAGTAGTTGGTTGCTCCTTTCGAGTAGTAATCCCAGGTGGCGCAACCGTTGATGCCACCGTCGATGACCGTAGCATTGGAAGAAGTGTATGGCACGACCACTCCAACTTGAAGCCTTAATTCTTACTTGTCTTTATCTGGATCGTTCGCGCCATCTTCTGGTAGTTACCTGGTGAGTCGGAGAAATCCTTCGGCCTGTTGCTGGACAGTGACATTTCTCCACTGCGCAATGAGCTCTTTATCTAGCACATTGGCGCACTTTATACATTGACGCTTTATAAACGAGCGGACGGTATCCGCGAGTGGATTGCAAGACGTCATTGTCATCTGGCACCGGTGGGTGCCTGCCAGTTCCTTGGCTCTATGCTAATATCCAAATCTTGTTCCTGTGTAGATTGGTGCACAGAAGGTATGCGACTCTATGCCGGGGAACCCGTCCATCCGGGACGTGGCGTCAGAGCCAGATTGCTCGCCGGCGGCTGAGGCTGGTTTGATGTCGACATTTAAAACACTAGTAGAAACGAACGTAGTAACAGAGAAAAGATGGTATGCTTACAGATTCCGAACAGCCCAGGTCCTCACACCAGACTTCAGTCATGTATCAATCGTATGTGGAATCGATTGATTGGAGACGAAACAGCGTCAAAGTCTTGCTCTTGCCATGGTGAGCCGCAGGGGAGGACACAAAAATCAAGGGCTCAGAGCCATCTCAGAGCCACACATTGCTTGTCAACAGTGGTCATTTGAGATCGCGCAGAAGACAAAAGTACACTGTACAACTGAGTCTCAGTCCTGAAAAACTGTGGTCGGTATACGTCTTCAGCAAATCAGAGAAGAATGCAATTCATACATCCATGTCGACTTCCATGGGCGTCCCTGAGCCCGAATCAGCAGCAGGATTGCTATTTTCTTTGTCCTTCTCCTTTTCCACAGTTTTCCCTCTTCCTCTTCCCCGTCCTCGCCCCCTTCCTCGACCTCGACCTCTCCTTGTCGGCGGTGCAGCAGATTCCTCCGCGTCCTCCATTTCCTCATCACCTTCCTCGCGCGGCGTCGCAGGTGTAGCAGTCGACCCCCGTCCCCTACCACGCCCACGACCTCGCCTGCCCCCACGTCGGCGGGGAGTAGCAGACCCTCGCGCCCTCGGGGCAGGAGTCGCTGGCGGCTCGTCCTCGTCGCGATCAACATCGTTGTCGCCATCAAAGTACTCGTTCGGCGCCTTACTCGAGTCATCCCTCTTCTCCCCTGCCTTTCCGGTCCCCCTTTTCTCTTCATCCCTCTCCTCCACGTTCCGCTCCTCGTCACCCAATAGCCCAAGCAGATCAGGCGGAATCTCCTGCATTGCAACGCTGGGCGCGCCCTGGAGGTACCGTAGCTTATTCCGTATGCTGATGGTAATGCGCTGCAGGGACGCGGGAGAGTTCTGGTTATCAACTTTCCCAGTGAGCGGTGGGTGGAGCTTCCAGTTCGAGTCTTCAAAGAAAGAGTCGTAAACTGTCGCGGGGAGTTCGTCGGGGATCGTCGCGCCTACGAGTACGGCGGTTTCGTAGGTCCAACATCGGCTGACGTTTTTGATAGTGTAACCGCCTCCGCCGAGCACAAGGAGTGGGACGTTGTATTTTCGGACGAAATTCACGCATTCTCCGTGGGCGGCGATGGAGAGATTGAAGGCGCCCAGACGGTCACACCCCAAGGAGTCGGCACCGCATTGGAGGACAATGGAAGAGGGACGAAAGGCGGTGACGGTGTCGTCGATAACGGTCTTGAATATCGAGAGGTACATAGCGTCGTCAATCCCATCCTGAAGAGGCACGTTTAGACAGAAATGCTTTCCTGGCCCGCTTCCATTGTCATCGAGCTTTCCAGTGCCAGGGAAGAAGTCGCCAGTGTATTTATGGAAGGAGACGGTCATAACCCGGTTACTCTGGTAGAAAGCGAGCTCGACGCCATCGCCGTGGTGTATATCAATGTCGATGTATAGCACGCGCGGGTGATACCTATCGTACATCGTGTCAGGGTTTTAAAACGCGCATAAAAAAACAGGTAATGCAGACCTGAGAAGTTCCAGAATCGCAAGTACGATATCATTGACATAGCAGAACCCGCTGGCTTCTCCGCGCTTTGCGTGGTGCAGACCGCCAGACCAGTTGATAGCGATATCAGTGGTGCCTGCAGACAGCTTCCGCGCGGCAGCCAGGGATCCTCCAGCGTACATTCGGCAGAAGTCAAACATGTCAGCAAAGATAGGATTGTCTTCGACGCAATTGAAAGTATCAATCATTTGCCTCATCTGCGTCTGGTTTCCGGGAGTAACTCTTGAAAAAATCAATACGGAGGAGGTTAAACGGCGTAAAATGGGTCCTTACTTTGAGAGAAAGTCTATATAGTCGTGATCATGATATGCTTCAAGTTCGGCTTGCGTCGCTGGCCGCGGGTCATAGATCTGGTGAATCTGCTTGTCGAGACCATACCCTGTGACGAGGGCATTTGTCAAGGTCAAGCGGTGAGGCTTCATGGGATGCCGTTCCTAGTCGCATATCAGCTTTGAGTCGCTTCGGAAAGACTTGTAAAAGGCATACGCCATAGTGGTGTCCCCCGACACCTTTTGGGGAGTAGTACGACACGATGGGTCGTGAATGTGGCTTAAACATGCGTGTTAATCAGTTAAATGTACTGCGCGCGTGAACACTCACGTTTATCCGCTCCGTGACCGGCTGGGCAGTACCATGTACCCCTCGGTCAAAGAAGTAGGGCGACGACGAGAACGTCGCAGACTGAGAGATTCGGACCATATCACAGCGAGGTACTAGAGGTAAACTAGTACAGTGCTTATGAGGTAAGTACAACTTGTTAGAGATACTTGATCACATTCAGCGGTCAAGGCGCACCGAAGGAGTATGCAAGGATAGCCTCCTGTTACACAGAGTGGAGGTTTGTTCCAACTGCACAGAGTATAAGGCTCGATTTTATGACCACATGAAAGGGGAACTGAGAGTACGCTGACGGCGAGACTTGAGGAAATCTTGCATGTTCAATCGTTCCCACGCACTTTTCGACCCAACTCTCACATCGACGCCCATGTATGGGCTTCATCGCTTTCTTTTCCTGGTAACGGCTATTGGGAGTGTGCTTGCCTCCTCAGGAGACAGGGCTGAAGAGTTTCAGAAATGCGTCGACGCTTGTGCTGCAAACCGTTGCCAGCTCTCCACGCCATTCGTGCTACCCTTGGCTTTGCGGCTCACGCACTGGACGTGCAACGACAACTGCCGATACCTCTGCATGCACGAGATCACCAGTCGGGACATTGATCTCGGGGTGCCAGTACAACAGTACAACGGAAAATGGCCATTCTGGCGCGTCGGCGGCATGCAAGAACCTGCTTCGGTGGCATTTTCTCTGCTGAACCTCTGGGCCCATGCTCGAGGGGCACTCAAAGTAAAAAGGCGGATTCCGGGGGCCCATCCCATGAGATCATACTATCTTGTTTGGTCCTTCACGAGCATCAACGCTTGGATCTGGTCATCTGTTTTCCACACCCGAGGCGAGTTCACTCCAAGCCCATGTGGTAAGCTCAGTCTCATCTCTGCTGCCATACAGACCTGCCTATCACGGAAAAGTTGGATTACTTCTCTGCTGCGTTGGCGATCCTATACGCCCTGTACTACACCGTCATTCGGCTATTTCACCTCTATCCCCACCAATCTCGCCTTACGCTGACAGGCGCTTCGCGGCCGATAAGCTCGACACACAAGCTCTGGTCGCTGTTGTCTATCATCACATACGTGGCTCACGTCTCGTATCTCACACTCCTTCCCCGTTTTGATTATACCTACAATATGGCATTCAACCTCGTAATTGGTCTCACCCATAACTTGCTGTGGCTCCTTTATTCTCTCCCTACCGGCCTCATTCGGAGATTCCCCTTCAAGCCCAAATCGTATCGGCCGAGTTATGTTGGGAAGGCGGCCGTCTTCGTAATCCTAACGACTGCTGCGACGGCTCTTGAATTGTTCGACTTTCCCCCATGGGGAGGTATCATCGACGCGCATGCCCTCTGGCATCTTTCGACTGCGCCGATTGCTCTGTTCTGGTATGATTTCTTGGTGGACGACGCCCTCGACGGTAGTTGGAGGCAGCAAAGGGCCTAAATGTGTATTCGGTATGTTTGACTACACAAACGCTTCACCTGTGATCAATATGTTGTTTTTTTAGGTATGGAGCGCTCTACACTTGGTCCCACCTCTTTCTGTACGACAACACCCAATTCCTCTATGGACTGCATTGGTGCAGTCACACATTTGCATTCATTCTGCGCCTCAAGTGATCGTCCTAGTCGTTTATATTGAGGAATAAATATCATTCAATAATGATACAGTGCATGGGCCCATGGGGTCAGATTCTGCAATACACACAGGCCGAGGCTCACGTCGACACCGGAGTCCAAACGGAGTAGATCATGGCTGTGCCTGTGCTGTCTTTATTTCCCATAACCCGTTCTTGCCTTTCGCCAGTCCACAGAACATCACATCGAATCCCAGGAAATCCATTCGCCGCAGGCTCTCCTCTTTTTGGCCCCCCAGTCGATAAGAATAAGCTGTAATGACGAGCTCCCGGTCGGTCGCGGTCAGGACTTCGTTATAGAACTCCTGCCCCAAGACTGGTTTTGTCAAATGCTGGTGAATCTGTGTAAAGATATCCCATAGCGTGATGCCGTTCGCCTGCAATGCGTGCACTTCGATATACCACGGAAGCAGAGGGTGGTACAACCACATTTCGTTCACCGCTGGTGATGTTGCGAGCTGGAAGAAGTCTAGTTGGTTCGCAGCACGCTCCAAGTCGAGAAATTGGATATCGAAGGAAGGTGGCAAACGCAGATCGCTTGCGATAGGGTGAAGATAGGCGTTCTTG